GGACTGTGTAATGGAACACGCTTGGTGATATCGAAGCGTTTCACTCACGTGTTTGAATGTAAGATTCTAACAGGATCAAATGCTGAACATAAGGTATTGGTACCAAGACTTTTCCTAACTCCATCTGATCTCAAATACCCTTCAAGTTCCAACGTAGACAATTTACTCTTATGTTTTCTTACGCAATGACAATCAACAAGAGTCAAGAGCAGTCGTTATCCCATGTCGGACTTTACATGAAAAGACCCGTGTTTATTAGTCATGGTCAATTATACGTTGATGGGTCTCGAGTCACTAATCCACAGGGATTAAATATTTAATATGTGGGGCGACGATATTGGGGAAAAGAAAACTACTAAAAATGTTGTCTATCGAGAAATTTTTTAAAATTTTACCATATAATATTGTACTTTTACTATCTAATAATAATGTTATTTATTTGTCATTTACTTTTATGATATATATATATATATATGTATATATATATATATATTAATGTATTTATTTTAATAAATATGTTCCGTGCATCGCACGGGTGAAGATACTAGTATTATATAAATATCATACATGATTCTCGAACTTGTTTTTATTTGAAACTAAAACTGCATACTTACAAATTATAATATATGGGACATTCTAGTAACTGCAAAACTTAAAAATAACATACTACATGTCAGAACAAAAAAATTGACATTATATGGTCCCAATTAATATATACTTGTCTGTGTCGAGTCAACATCTGATTTCAAGAATGGGGAAAATTTGTATTATATTAGTACGTAGTTCCATATGACACTTAAATTATGACCACAAGATATATGTATGTGATGTGTAGGGGCCGCAGGATAATTATAGATATATATATATATATAGTTCAATTTGAATATTAATCAAAGCAATCTACGTACGTACCTATGAATGAATTAAATATAAAATTGTCATGTGTGACAAATTAAAGAGTATATTATTTCTGCTCATATTCAACATGAAGATCCTCTGGAGATCATCTGTGGACCATACCTTAATTTTCACCACCAATTTGCCTCAAACTCAATCAATTTCCATACGTTATATATTTGTCCAACTAAATTTTTTTGTTTAATCCAATATTAAAATAGTATAGTTTTTCTCTAAAAGATGCATGTATTCCAGATCTAATAATAATACTACTGGTGGATATCACATCAGTACTATCGCCTAGTGTTGTAAAAGAATCGAACCGAACTGAACCGTGCTTTGGCTGTCCGAGCTCGTGTTCGTTTACGTTCGAACAGTGTTCGTGTTCGTTCGTTTATTTTTCGAGCAAAAATCGTGTTCGAATTCGTTCGTTTAATTGTTCGTCAAAGTTTGAGTTTGTTCGTATTCGAATAATTTAATACATGAACTTTTTAAATATGTTCGATTAACTCGAAATTTATTCGTTCAAACTCGTTCGAACTCGAAAGGAAAAGAGTAAAATAAAAATAATTTTATATATTACAATTTTTTATTAAAAATATTATGTAAATATATAGAAAATAAATAAATTATATTAAACTTTAGACTTTTTAATAAAAATATTATGTAAATATATAAAAAAATAAAAAAAATTATATTAAATTAATGTTCCCGAACATAATCGAACGTTCACGAACGAGCTCGTGTACGTTCAATTATTAAACGAGCCTAAATTTCTGTTCGAACACGACTCGATTAACAAACGAACGAGCTTTTGTCAAACACGAACAAACTTGAACGAGCTTTTGTTCGCGAACGTTCGGTTCGTTTACAGCTCTACTATCGCCCATCAAACCTTTAATAAATTAAAAAAGAGTTTAAGTTGGTGCTTATATTGGGCTTTCCATGTGATATGAGATATTACACCATTAACCGGTCTAGGTGGTCGGTGAAGCGAACCGGAGAAATTGATCTGGTCGAACGGAGTTTGCACTGACCAATGGTAGACCAAAGTCAAGGCCACAAGAATCTCGAATGCCTAGGTGGACGAGCAAAGGAAGGTAAGATCGACCATCCCCTACGCCAGAAGCGACTTATATTAGTAGTCTATCCATATTTGGTCGACCACAAGAGCCTCTGCGGAAACCTTTGACACGTGCGTGAGACACGTGGCACGAGCTAACTGGTCTATACCATTAACTTTTTCTGACACATTCCTGAGACATTCCTGACGCATGCACCAGAGGTTGTACGATCGGACAGGCCGGACAACCAGTTCAACAAGTTGGGGCAGCTTCTAGGGCAAGTATCTCACCCCTATATATATAGGTGTGAGGTTGATCGTTTTACACACAATATCATATATATTTTCATAATCACTCATAACATTTCTCAAGACTGACTTGAGCGTTGGAGGCTTTTCATCGGAAAATCCTTTCGGTGTGAGAGTTTCGTGCAGGTTTTGGGCATTCTACCTGCGAGGATAGCAAGATCGAGACGGTTCTTAGCCGACCGGAGTGTTGTACTTGTATTACCACGATTTCAATTTCGAGTGTCTTCTGTAACCTATAAATTATTACTTTAAACCTTGTCTATATATATATATATATAATTACTAGCTAATAGCATTTAATAAAGCCTATTTAATTTTACCTATGTGGCAATTTAACTCTTTTTCCTCAAAAAACCGTTACTTTTGATGTACTTAATCTTTCATTTAATTATTAAATAATCAACACTAATCACCTCAAAATTACAAAAATCATTTTAAACTTTTGATTACTGGCAGCTGACCATATAATGTGTTGACCGCATAATGTGATTAGATGTTATTATTGTGGTTGCATTTATTCTTTTTTAAAGTATATAACGTATTTGAAATTCCTAAATAAATAATAAATAACTCACAAACCAAAGACGTACCAAAATATACATTACATCCAATCAGATAAACGAAATTTATAAAAATAAATACTCCAACTCCTTTAATTGTAAATTTAGCCCGAAAAAAGGTGAAAGAATAATAATTAATCATTATACGCATACAAATAACTCACAATACTTTATTTACATCTGTGCAAATACACAAGGTCGAATACTAGTTTACTTAATTTATAACTTTTTGTTTCTTTTTTTTTTAATTAAAAAACTAAACAAATCATGTTTGGTAGAATGAAATGTTTTAAAAAACAATTGATCTTATAATTTTAGATGCTTATCGAGATGGCCATTTATAAAAGTTCGTTTTCGTTTCAACCGATTTATTAACTAATCTTATCAATCATTTATTATAACAACTATATATTTTTTCTTAATAGCTTGGGATTAATCTATAATCTATTAATTAACTTATCCACATTACTTTTTAGTTAATTATAAGATGGGGCTAACATGCATGTTGCTTTCTGCATTAGCTATTATTGTCATTTTCTTGGATCCGAAATCTTGCTTATTTATCTTATGTATAATGTTTTCCCAAAATTATCAACTCCAAACTAAATAAATAAAATTTTGTGTTTCTGAAATTAATTAAGGTCCCTTTATTTAATAATAAAAAATTGAAAAAATATATATATGGTAAAATAGATGTGGTCCTTAGCTAGAATTGTATGGCTAATATTAAGACAAATATCAATTAATTGAGGGAGAGCTTTGCCGCCCTTGTGGTCCTACCCGGCTCGATTCCGGATTAGTTGGTTCCCCTGTGGATCCGGAAACCGGAAAATTTCTGTACAAAAAAAAAAAAAAAGACAGATATCAAATATATATTGGAAGTGCAACTAAGAGATCAATTAATAAGAATATATAGTTGTCCATGCCTACACATCTTACTCAAACCAACTCATCTGAAAAAGATCCATAGAGATATAATTACAAATAAGTAAAAACAACTCAAAATTTCTCATAAACAAGAAAAAAATATAATAAATTTTCTTCAGTAACTTAGTCATTGGAAAAAATTGGTCCACTATAAATGTAGCAGCAATATTAGGTCCACAATTATATATATGTTTTTAATATCTTTTGACATATTATATTGGTCCTCATTGTTGGAGATGTATCCTTAACATGAATTGATTGATGCTCACATCTCTTTCATTCAAATCAATTAATGATTCAAATTAGTATGTCCTTTTGTCACACTGATGGGCTTATGAATGAATGAATGAAATGCATGTGGTGAAAGATTTCGTAGTTATTCACAAATCGTGATCATAATTCTCAAGCTAATAGACACATCCAACTGCAATATGCATTATCACCTGCGTGTCAAGGTCTCGTAAATTTTTTAGTAACAATCTCCTATCATTGTGTATAATATGCCAATCTCCTATCACACCCGTTGGCGAGTACTGTATATTAACTAAATTTAACAACTAAATTTTATATATAAATGTATTATATTTAATCTAAATAGACAATTTTGGTATTCGTGTTCTAAAATTGATATTGAGGGTATTTATGTAAATAAAATTTCAAGCAGCTCGTAGAGCTTAATTACGAGCCTCTTCAAACGATGCTCGAGGCTCGCTTCGTTTGCTCGATTGTATTGTACTGCTCGAGCATTAACTTGAGCGCCCGCGAGCGGCTCGTGAGTTGCTCGACTCGTTTGCAACTCTACTCGTGTTGATGGTGGGCAGAAAAACGACGACACTGTACTGTTATAATTAACCAGAAAATTAGGTAGTGTACTCATGCCATAACACATTGATTTCTCTCCTTTCCCATCTACATCACAAGCACAAGCAAATTGACAGTCACTCTATAGAAATGCAGAAACAAACAAAGCATGCTCCATATGCAAATTCATTTTTCACCAATACACATCACAACAGGGGACCCTTATCAATACAAACATAAAGCTAGGCTTCCAATTTAAAAAACAATGGCTATTCCCATTTTAGACCCCACCCCATATACTCTGCAGCTCTCTTCACACACACACAAACACTCATATACTTCCTCACATTCCCCCTCAAACATTATATATTTCCCCATTTTTCCCAACCAGTAGTTAAAAGTTAAACCAAAATTCAACCATATCTAGCTAGCTAGCTAGCTCGATGGACAAAACCGAGCGAGAGACACGAGAGCTCATGAACGTCGACTCCTTCTCTCAACTCCCCTTTCTCCGCCCCACACTATCTCCACCGCCTCTCAAGGAAAAACCGAGCCGAGCCATTAGGCTTTTCGGCCAAGAATTTGGCTTCAACGACAACAACAACACAGACTACCAATTGAACCTTACCGAAAACATTAGCTGCGCACGAGACAATCTCCCGAGCACGGAAACTCTTGAAAACACAGAGACTATATCCAACCGGAAATTCGAGTGCCACTATTGCTGCAGAAACTTCCCGACTTCTCAGGCGCTCGGCGGGCACCAGAACGCGCACAAGAGGGAACGGCAGCAGGCCAAGCGGGCCCACCTTCAGCCCGATGCCTCTCATGTTTACGGCTTGATGGGCTACAATCGGGCCGGCCTGCTATCGGGCCCTACACTTCCGGTGGCCCACAGCCCTTGGAGTGCCAACAGCCTATATGGCAGTGCCATGAGGCTCGCTAACGGGTATGGCTACAGCTCGTATAATGCAGCTTCGACTCGTCAGCCGCAGCCGACGAACGGGAGCCCTATGGGCTTATGGAGAATGCCTCAACACGGCCCGTCGCCAGCTCAGCAAATGACGTTTGACGACCCGAAAGTAGCATTGCCTTCGATTAACGGTGTTATTATTCCTGCTTCTCAAATGCAGTTCGGGTACGAATCAAAGCCGGTCATGCAAGAACACGTGAGTTTGGACTTACGTCTTTGATCGATTTTATTTTATTTTTTCTCGAGATTTTTTATCCTATATTCGACGAAGAGCGTTTGTTGAATACATAAGTGGCTTAGACCATCGAGGCAGTTTAGCTGTTGCTATGTCTTGATCAATTCTGGGAAAACAGAGGAAAAACACTTTTGTTACTTGAATCTATTAGTTCTAATTAGACTGTTAATGTTTTCTTTGAAGCAAGCAAAGTTTAACAGATAACACAAAGATAAAACATTCCTCACCTCACCATTTTGTGGTATGTCATATGTGGGCCTGATCATCATCACCATTATTAAAGGCAGCAAAGCCACACCCACACACAGAGCATAGATTTTTCTTGGCTATTTGCATTGATGTGTCCCTATCCAACTCATCATCATATGACAGAAAAAAAAAAAAAGTACCTCTAATCCAGTTTTCTTCTTCTTCTTTTCATGAGATATATAGACAAGATTCGACCCTACCGGTGACTAGTTTTTTCACATTGCAATTATCGGAAAGGTAAAATCGAACAATATATAGTAAATATTAAAAGAACCATTTAAAGGGTTCTAACTTCTAAATTTGAAAGTCATTAAAGGGCTCTAACTTCTAAGGGAGATGCTACAGTCCTGTTAAGGAACCATTCGTCGGGATTTGTAACCGTTAGATCAACTATCCCCGACAGTTACATGATGATCTAACGGTTATAAATCCCGACGGAATGGTTCCGTAACGAGACCGTAGCATTTCTCGAACTTCTAATTTCAATTTGTTAGTGCATGATTGGTAGATAAAACTGCAATTTGTTTTTTCATGCATGATGCATGTAACTTAAAACAAACGTATATTTAAAGAAAAAAAGTTGCAACTTGCAAATGGAGACATATGAGGAAAAGCAGGGATGCATCATGAAACATAGGACCACAAATAAATGTCTGAAAACAAACCACTGGGAATTTAAGTCAAGTACTTTCAATATTGGTCCTCCACAAAAAAAAAAAAAAAAAAAAAAGCCCTTTGTTGTTGTACTAAAAGGCAAAGTAGGTTGGCTGGCAGTTTGATGTACTGTGCATATATCATTCCCAGCTAACATGCGCCATAAACAATTGAAGACAGATAAATATAAATAAAATATAGGGAAATTTTGATGCATCCCACCCGATTCTCCAAATATTGTAAAATTACCATTCATAGAAAATTAATTGTAGATATACCTATATAATAGATTATAATTAATTACATTAATACTTAAATATCAGTTGCAGATCGGTTCCAACCTCTATTCCATGTTTTTTGCGCACAATCTTCAAGTTGTACAAAAAAAATAAAAAAGTAAAAAAAATTAGATCTCCCATGTCGCTCTCAAGGACGCCGCCACCGCGTATCACCGCCACCACCTCCTTCATGGCAGATTGCACCGCCCGAGCACGAGGTCTACGGTCGCTCCCCCAAGTTTGAGGTCGAGGCCCGGCCCCTCGACAAGCTTGTCGTAGATCTGAGCCGCGTCCGGGCCGAGAGCTTCGGGCTGAGAACAATGGACGTTTTGAAAATTCAAAATGGTTCCACTGGGGAGGGGAGATGATCGAGCTCTGAAATCGATTAGAGAAACGATTAAAAATCGAGTGTATATTTTATGTATATTTTATGTATATGTGTGTGTCTCGATCTATCACTGACTTGAATTACGAGAATCTCAATTGTACATTTTATGTGTATTTCGATTCTGAAATCGATTTGAGAAACGATCGAAACTCGAGTGTATATTTTAAGTATATTTTATGTATATGTGTGTCTCGATCTGGTGATGATTTGAATTACGAGAATCTCGAGTGTATATTTTATGTATATTTTATGTATATTTAATGTATATGTGTGTTGTACAAGAAAAATAAAAGGAAAAAAAAACCTGAAAGAACATAAATCGGAATCTTAAAACGTGAAAAATCATATCTGAATATTTGTCTTGGAATTATAATAACTATATCTGTTTACTGTACGGTAGTAAATTTAAGTTTATTTACTGGTACATATACTTCACATATACTCGATTTAAGTGAGTATATGTTGGGTTTATGTTAGTATATATTCAATATATATTTCAATTAAAAACATGTCTTCCATAAAAATATGTCTACTTTTTTAAGTTTAACGTTAAACGTACGTGAATTGATAATTTTTTAGTAATGATATGTGTGTCGTTTTTCTATTAATGATATATGTTAGTATATATTCAGTATATGTTTTTTTTTTTACGTATGTTTATTTTACTTTTATTATTTGTAAATAGTTTTACTAGAAAACAAACCATACATATACACAACAATTCCATAAATTGAAAATATACTGTCAATATACTCAACATATGTATACTGATTGGGGGTATTCTTTTTTTAAACCCTCGAAAGTGCTGACAATGTATTACACTTTGATGAATATTGTTGACATAAAAATCCTCTCGGACGTCGGATGAACGACACGTGGATAAAAGGAAGGAAAAGGGACCGAGCCGAGGAGAGCGAAGAGAAGGCTCCCCGAACTGTATGAGCCGACCTCGGAGGACCGACTACATCAGGATGCCGACCTCGCAGTAAAGACGACCCAAATACGGGTTGACGTCGGTACTGACAGGCAGCATTAAATGCCCGTTCATCAGATGTCTGAGAGCCACATGAGGGCATCATTGCTAAGGGGTCCCACTTGCTGAAAAAAGCCTGCGCCCTGTCACACTACATTAAATGCCGCCGCATCCCCTCAAAAGACGAGCCCACAGTTACTATAAATAGCAGCATTAAACGCGATACGAGGATTTTTTTTCGGACACATTAAATTCTGTATTAAACACCTCGGTTCACGGCCCATCTCAACATTATTGTACCGCTGAAAACCCGACTTCAAGTCCAAACTACCGACTTGAATCTGTTCTAAAATATTCTACGTTTAATAAAGAAAATCGCTTCATTTTCGCATTAATCCCAAAGTTTAACACTAAAAAAGGTTGATCAAATCCGTTTATCAACAGTTTGGCGCTAGAGGAAGGGCCTCATAAGATATCTTGAGGTCAATCTTTGAATCCAGCATCCACCTTCGAAATCGCTGACACGAAAGCATACAACAATGACACAATCAGAACAAGATGATCAGACAACAAGAGGAGGGGACAGTCGCGGCACAATCCCTTCTACCGGTAGAGCCACCACGGTGATAATACCGGACCTGGCGACACTCATGCAGAACCCAGAGTTCGCAAAGGGTTTCTCGACGCTACTGGCTCAGACCATGACAGGAACCTCGAGGGCCGTACCAGGACAGTCACTCGCGCCCATCACCCCGGCCAGACCGGTGGCGCAGCAAGGCGTAAACAACCAAACGCGCTCACACGCGACGTCCCAACCGAGGAACAAGACCGCCACTCAACCCACACACAAGAAACGGGCCATGTATATGTGGAAACGGACTCCCCACTGTCTCCCGAGTTGACTTTGGAGCCGCTACTCGGGAAAATCAAAGTCCCGCAAATCGGACTTTATGACGGAACGTCGGACCCCGACGCTCATCTCGGACATTATACCTCATGGATGGACTTACATGGGGCCACCGACGCCCTCAGGTGTCGTATGTTCTCCCTAACGCTGGGACCAAGAGCGCAGAAATAGTACTACTCGCTGCCTGCGCAATCCATCCGACGCTGGGTTCAACTCAGGTCGGCATTCCGCTCCCATTTTATCGGGGCGCAAGTTTGCCTTATTCCGAAAGAGTCGATCACTAACATTGTCCAAAAGGACGACGAGAGCTTGAAGGAATATGTTGTCCGCTTCAACGAACGTGTGCAGAACATGGAACCGTGCCATCCTGAAACCCTCTTAGTAAGCGCTATCTCGGGACTGAAGCCCAAGTCAATGTTCAGGTGGGCACTTTGCCAATACAAACCCAGTATGTTCCAGGAATTCTTAGTTCGAGCACAGAACCTCGTGATCGCCGAAGAGAGCATGTCGGTCTCGGACCTTGCGTTCTCCTCCCCAGGACAAAAGCCGACGTCGGAGAAAAAGAAAAAATCTTTTAACAACTCGTCCAAGAAGACCTCCTCCACGGACCCGAGGTGGGGAGATCCGAACGACCCCGAGGTACGGGAAGCTCGGAAACAATATCGAGAGGACTTGAAAGTGGGATACCGATATATCTACTCGGTTGGAGCAGCTGCCATCTACGAGGAAATAAAGGGAAAGAAAATCATTCCTGATGCCCGACCAGTCAAGACCCCAGAGAATCAACTCGATAAAGCCCGATACTGCGACTACCACAGGTCGCCGGGCCACAATACAGACGAGTGCTTGAGCCTGCTGTCGGCTCTGATGAAGCTCATCGGTAATCCACAAGTGAGGAAGTTCACCAAAGCTGGTGACAACAAAGGGAAACGAAGAGCACAAGAAATTCCCGATGATGACGAAGGAGATGAAGGAGGACCGAGTTTCAAGAGACTCCGAGCCCAAGGAGACAAAGAAATCTTTATGATCGGGCCAACAGCCGACGACCCATCCTAAGATCGACTTGGTAAGAGGGGCCGGGAAGCCGACAGCCAGCAGCGATCCGACCTAACGCCGCCGACCTCGGGACGTTCAAGTCCCATCCCCCGAGTTAATACCAACCGAGACACACCGACGTCTTCCCCAAGGCAGGCCAAGCCATACGCGCGAAGGGCCTACAATTCCGGGAAACAGGTGATGACCTCGGATCTCAGAGAAACAATCAATGCCCGCACCTGCCCAATCACCTTCACACTGAAGGACGCGAGTTTATTTGACCATCCGCACTCGGACGCACTTATAATTACGGCCCCCATCTGCGGCATTCCCGTCCATCGGATCATGGTGGATACTGGGGCCTACACGAGCATCCTCATGCTCAAGGCGTTCAACAAGCTCGGGATAGACCCTGCCAAAGTCTGCCCTTGCAATGACCGTGTCCACGATTTCAACGGGAGCGTGGCGCTCCCACTAGGTGAAATCACACTCCCCATCAGGTTCGGAGGAAACGGGCAGACATCCAAAGTCATCATGGAAACTTTCAAGGTGATGGATCTCGACAATGAATACAACGCGATCATTGGGAGGACGGCGTTGTACAAACTCCGAGCTGTAGTTTCAATTTTCCATTATACGATAAAATTCCCGACGGCGGACGGAGAAGGGACCCATTATGGGGAACAAAGAGAGGCCAGGGAGCTGTTCCTGGAGATACCTTCACGAGATATTCATATGGTAGAAAAAGCCAGCGCCGAGGTAGGCGATAATCAAGGTCCTGGGGAAGATGAACGACCACCAGCTGTAGATGAAGAAGACAAAACCCGGGATCGGGGGAGGCGACCTGGGAAAGAACCTGCCAAAGAAGACGACATCCTCGATCCCCGAGATCAGTTCAAGGAGAAGAAGTCGATGAACCGAGCTGAGCCTTCGGAGGAGGTGGAGGTAATCAGTGTCGGCGGGCCGACTTGCCACAAACAGCTCCGAATAGGAGCATGCTTGCCCGAACCACTTAGAACTGAACTGATACAGTTTATCCAAGCAAACGCCGACGTCTTCGCCTGGAAGCATAAAGACATGAAGGGGATCGACCCAAAAGTTGCATGCCACCAGCTCAACATCGACAAGACGGTGAAGTCGGTCATCCAGAAGAGGAGGAAGCTCGGTCCTGACCGACAACAAGCCCTTGATGAGGAAGTGAGCAAGCTGGTCGACAACAAGTTCGTCAAGGAAACCAAATACCCGACTTAGGTGTCCAACCCTGTCCTAGTCAAGAAATCAAACGGAGCGTGGCGACTGTGCATAGACTTCTCCGACCTCAATAAGGCTTGCCCAAAAGACAGCTACCCCTTGCCCCATATCGACTACATGGTCGACGCCACCTCAGGCCACGAACTCATGAGTTTCATGGACGCCTACTCGGGCTACAACCAGATTCCCATGGACCCGGAAGAAGCAGAGCACACCTCTTTCTACTCGGCTCGGGGACTATACTGCTACACAATGATGCCCTTCGGATTGAAGAATGCCGGGGCCACCTATCAACGGTTGGTCAATAAAATGTTTTCTAGACTGATAGGGCAGACTATGGAAGTCTATGTAGATGACATGCTAGTGAAATCGGTAAATGCTAGCGATCATGTAACCCACTTGAATGAAATGTTTAAGATTTTGCGTGATTACTCGATGGTGTTGAATCCAAAAAAATGTACCTTTGGAGTGAAGTCGGGTAAGTTCTTGGGTTACATGGTCAGCCAAAGGGGAATAGAAGCGAACCCGATGAAAATCCGGGCGATACTCGACCACAAACCCCCTACCTCGGTGAAGGGGGTTCAGGGTCTGACTGGGAGGTTGGCGGCCCTGAACCGGTTCATCTCAAAATCGACAGATCGCTGCAAGCCGTTTTTCGACGCCATTAAGAAAGGAAAAAAGTTTGAATGGACCGAAGAATGTCAGAAAGCTCTTGACAATATCAAAGAGACATTGACCCGACCTCTCGTCTTGCAAAAACCAAAGCCCGACGAGGTGCTGTATTTATACCTCGGAGTAAGTAACTCGGCAGTCAGCGCAATACTTATAAGAGAAGAAGAAACATGTCAGCACCCGATCTACTACGTGAGCAAGGCGTTGTATGACGCCGAGCTCAGATATGTACCAATGGAGAAGCTGGCCTACGCTCTTGTCATCGCAGCAAGGAAGCTCCAACCATACTTTCAGGAACATTCGATCAATGTCTTGACAGCCCACCCGTTGAGACAAGTTCTACATAGGCCTGACACCTCGGGGCGAATGATTAAATGGGCCGTAGAATTAGGACAGTTCGATATACATTACAAACCTCGCACAGCTATCAAGGGTCAGGTATTATCGTATTTCATCGTCGAGTTCACTCCGGCAATCTGAGAGACGATGGACAAACGGGCGTGGGTGATGTATGTCGACGGGTCGTCAACAGCAACTCGAGCAGGGGGAGGAGTAGTCTTGATCGACCCAGAACAACGGGTATATTGCCACTCAGTTCAATTCCTTTTTTCGGCCACCAACAACGAGGCCGAATACGAGGCCTTGCTGTCCGGCCTGGGCCTTGCGGAGACCATGAACCTTACCCACCTAACTATCTTCTCGGATTCCCAGCTGCTCGTCAATCAAGTCCTCGGCAGTTACGAGGTGAAAGAACCCCGGTTAATACCATATCTAGCGTTGGCCAAACGACAGATGGCAAAGTTTGTGGCCAAGATCGAGCACATCCCAAGGACGTCGAACGTGCAAGCGGACGCCCTCTCACGTCTCGCCTCCAGCGCGAATATGGAAAATGTTGAGTACGTTCAGGTCGGAAGTCAATAAAAACCATCAACGTCTACACCTCTGGTCGGCCAGGTCGGAACCGACGAAGTAGACAAAATACCGACTTGGATGGATCCAATCATCGTATATTTGAAGACGGGGACACAACCCCGAGACACGAGAGAAGCACGATCATTGCGGATACGAGCTGCCAGATACACCTTAGACCGAGGAGTACTCTACAAACGAGGGTACTCGATTCCACTTCTGAAATGCCTAACGGAGCAAGAGTCATTATTCGTGCTGCAGGAGATTCATTACGGCGTCTGCGGAAGCCATTCCGGGGGTCAAGCCCTCGCCTACAAAATCCTCCGAAGAGGATATTACTGGCCGACACTAAGGCAGGATGCCGCAGACTGGGTAAGGAGATGCACCAAATGCCAAATATTCGCGCCAAACATAAACCTCGTACCAGAGCCGTTGAAATCGATTGTGAGCCCTTGGCCGTTCACCAAATGGGGAATCGACCTGATAGGACCCTTGCCAACTGGAAAAGGAGGAGTGAAGTTCGCTGTTGTGGCGGTAGACTACTTCACCAAGTGGGCGGAGACAGAACCTTAGCGACTATCACCGAGCAGAAGATGATTGACTTTGTTTGGAAGTCGATAATATGCCGCTTCGGCGTACCCAACTCGATCATCACCGACAACGGGAGACAGTTCGAAGGAAAGAGATTAGAAGAATTCTGCATGTCACACAACATAAAGCATTATTTCTCGACTCCGTATCATCCCCAGTCAAATGGCCAAGTCGAGGCCGTGAACAAACTGATCAAGAACGACCTCAAGATACGACTTGAGTCGGCAAAAGGGGGGTGGCCCGAGGAATTACCAGGTGTCCTATGGGCATATCGCACATCTCCGAGATCGTCAACGGGAGAAACCCCGTTTTTTTGGCATACAGATCGGAAGCTATGGTCCCCGTAGTGCTCGGATCACCAACCTACCGGGTAGAAAATTTCGCAAAAGATCAAAACGACGGCAATTTACGCATGAATCTCGACTTGGTCGAAGAATTGCGAACACAAGCTGAGCTCAGAAATGCGGCTTACAAACAGAGGAGCGAGCGATATGTCAACTCGAAGCTCAAGCCCATGACTTACCGAGTTGGCGACCAAGTCCTAAAAAGAGTGACAAGGCCCAACCCCGGCCCCTTAAAACCGAAGTGGGAAGGATCCTTCAAAATAAGTCAGGTGCTACCCCGTGGGGCCTATAGGCTGGAGGATCTAGACGGAACGCCCCAGCGATACCCGTGGAATGCGGTGTACCTCAAAAAATATTATCAATAACGCTGAATCGGCCTCCACGCCACTAGTCGGTCTCCGCATCAACGTTCTGCAAAAACCGGCCTCCGCGCCACTAGTCGGTCTCCGCACCGACGTTCTGCAAAAACCAGCCTCCGCGCCACTAGTCGGTCTCCGCACCGACGTTCTGAAAAAACCGGCCTCCACGCCACTAGTCGGTCTCCGTACCAACGTTCTGCAAAAACCGGCCTCCGCGCCACTAGTCGGTCTCCGCACCGACGTTCTGCAAAAACCGGCCTCCGCGCCACTAGTCGGTCCCCGCACCGACGTTCTGCAAAAACCGGCCTCCGCGCCACTAGTCGGTCTCCGCACCGACGTTCTG